ATAACCTAAGTTTGGAGCCACCTGGATCAGCAATTAAGACACTAAAAATACATGTGAAGTTACGTGCTCCTTACTGGCTATGAATCTCACTATCTTATTTTATTAACCATGTACTAGTGAAGGGACCAATCTATCAGCCTTTCCAGCAAAATGCTGGAACTTGGACCTTGTAGGGAGCCTACATTATCGCCTTTGTCAACTAGCCCAGGATGGCTGGGCGGTGTAGAGTGGCGTCAAATCCTCTCTCCTATTGGAGGGCGTCTTCTTAGCGCTCCTGGTACAGCAAAAAATGCAGCGCGAGAGGGGCCGTGAGAACACTAACAAATCCATCATGGATAATGTGCAGGAAGACCTAAAAGACTCACGAGATGCTCGAATCAACTGTCTTGACACACACATTATCTCACAGCATATACCAATAAACTTCGTATCGCATCACCTCAACATACATGTAGTTGCATATCAGGAGCTCACCCTGGGGTGTGCATGTAGTTGCATATCAGGAGCTCCTGGAAGGGAGGGTACAGGGAGAAGGGCAAAGCAGCAACGACGGTCAGAATTCCAAGGCCGAGAATTATCATAATTCCTTCCAGCTCTCCTCCACTTCCACTCCTAAGCATCCCCACACCAGCACACCACCCAATCCACTACCCCTCTTTGCCCATCTATCTCCTCCTCCCCTCTGCTCCACTCCCTCCCCTTCTTCCCTCCCCTACCACCCTCCCCCGCCCTGCCCCTCCCCTCCCAGTGTGCTCCATCCTCGTTACAATCCGCATCATTTACGCGCCTCAAACATAGACTCCTCACACATACCTGCTCGGCCAAACGCTCTCTGCACGCCTCCAGCTCTTCTCTCAGAGCAGCCATCTCGTTACTGTCCCCTCCGATACAGCCACCACCCACTGCAGCAGAAGCTGCCTGCTGCTGCGCTGCTCTCTGGACGAGATCCTGAAGGGAACAGCGGGGTGGGCAAATGAGATTTTTTATATCATAACACACAATGGAGGAAAAAAAAATGGCGACCGCAGCAATGATTCCACAAAGGGGAAATACTGGGTGGGACAATTCTAGAATCACGCTGGTCTTTACTAATAATGAATCATTCACTGGGCGGTACATACACGCATGGCCGTCACAATGCGTTGGTGCAGATCCATGATGTGTGGACAGGCCATGTTGGGTGGCAGGGCGTACACGTCCTGGTGGGGGAAAGAGTGGGGACAGAAGCTTGAGGAAAAGAAAGAAATTGCAGGAAATGAAGAAAGGACAGCAATAACATAAAGCGTGGGATTTTTTTCAAAGGGGCGTGGAACTTGAGCAGACGGACATTTTCAACTTCCTGTTCTCAAGAGGACTCACCATGTTTTCCTCTTCCTCTTCTTCCAATTCCTCCTCCCTCTCCGAACCACACTCACTCCCTCTATCCTCCTCTTTCGCGTCCCTTCTGCTTCCCTCCTCCTCGGAACTCTTCTCATGGCCCCTTTCCTTCTGCTGCCCTTCTCCTACTGACGAGGGCAGGCCCTTGCTGTACTCGCTAATGAGTGATTGGAGGTCCGTCTGAAGAAACAGATCCAAAAAAGCGACATCTTGCAATGAGATGGGTAGCAGGAACAAGGGCACGTGAATTTGAGACACGAGCCATGCAAGCAGGCAGTGGATTTGTAATAACATTACAATAAATAATAGTCATAAAGGAAAATTATCAATGGGTCGAATAAACAACTTACATATATTGTCCATTTGTTTAGGTGTACCTGCATGGAGCGAATGACTGCCATGAGCTGCTTGCTGTCCTCCCCCACTGCCCTCAGCTGCCTTTCATGCGCCTCCATCTGTTACCAGTGGGACAGTGGGGAAAGATGATGCATGGACAGAGAGGAGCGAGTACCAATGAACGGGAGGACAGAGGAAAAAAGCCTGTAAAGAAGTCGCAACAAGGTCTGGACTGGTGTCGCATGGAGGGGTTAAGTGGGGGTGGGGGAGGGGGGGGAACAGGAGAGCAATGCGGGAAGAGTCGCAGCAGCTTCGACTCTTAACACAGTGATTATGATAAAAGAAGGCACTTAGCAGAGTGACACCTACGACGCGACACTTAAGAGCGTAGCATTGAACCTAGCGACGCTCAAGGGATTCACGCTTACCATGCGCTTGTAAAAGTCGCTATCTGACTTCTTCCCGCCCCATGTGGCCCTCTGCCTGCCCTCTGACTGCAACACACAGAGAACAGGGGAGTACAGGGGAACAAGGATGGGGTACGCATTTGTTGGGATAGGAGGGACAAGGTTGGGTAAGGCTGGGTGGAAGGGAAGAAGGATCTCACATCTAGCTGCCTGGCGGGCATGCGCTTGCCTCCCACGCACAACCCTAGCCTCTCCTATGCAAAGCACAGCACAACACCGCAACGCGCACTTCCGTACCACAGTCCACCGCACTGTACCTGGGGATTGAGGTTGACAATATCCACTCCCGGCTGCCTGGTGGGCGTGCGCTTGCCCCCCACGCAAGACGCGAGCTTCTCCTGCAGCTTCACAAACTCGCGCTTCTCCTTGCGCAGCTCGAACGCCTGCTGCGCCTTCACTTGCTGCAGGGGGCGGGTGGGAGAGGCGTGGGTGGATGGTGGGACGAGCGTGGTGAATACACGTATAGAAAACCTCGGAAAGGCGCCGAAAAGAAGCAGTGAGTGAGATGGTGGACTGGATGGAGTCAAATACATCAGTATCGAGGACAGAAGAGTTTCGAGGATATAACAGTATCGAGGATACTGCTTGCTGACTCACCTGCAGGGCTTGCTGACTCACCTGCAGGACTTGCTGAGTCACCTGCAGGACTTGCTGACTCACCTGCAGGGCGATGACATGCTTGCTGAGCTCGTCCCTCTCTGCTCTTAACTTCTTGATCTGCGCCTTGAACTCCGCCGCCGCTTTTTGCTCCTGGTGGGTCCATCCACAGGACACGCAGAGAGGCAATAAGAGATGAAACGAGAGTCGAATGGGATGACCCTTTTTGAGGCGCCGCAAAGCTGCTTGCTGAGCTCGTCCCTCTCTGCTCTTAGCTTCTTGATCTACGCCTTGAACTCCGCCGCCGCCTTTTGCTCCTGGAGAGCGACGAGTCGATTCATAGGACACGCCGGAAGACGAGATGAGAGTGAGATGGGAGAAGATGAGACGAGGCGAGTTACAATGAGACGAGAAACACGATACACACAGAAATTTCCTCTGGTGCTGGAAGCAGGGCTCGCGACTGGATTATCTCCTCATTCTCTTGTGCATGATGATATCGGCTGTGCTTGTTTACCACTCTCCTGCACCCATTCCCACCCAATCTCGTCCATTCCCACCCATCTATCCCCCTCCTTCTCCTCTCTCTCTTGCTCCCAGCCCACACCCCCACCTGCGCTGTAAGCGACTGGATTTTCCGCCTTGCGACTTCCAGCTCGTCTTCTAGACGATCCGAGCGACTCTCCGCCGTCGCCAGGTCGCACATGAGCCGGTGTCGCTGCGTCGCCAGGTCGTCGAGCTGTTTCGCATCCGCCTGTCGCTGCTGCACTAGCTGGTAGATGCAGTCGCACGCCGTCGCCATGGACGCCTGCGAACATTCATGCGACATGCAATGACACAAAGCAAGCGCTGGTTGCCGGGAAAGCGGTCCTGGACGTATGTTTAAGAGACTGAAGCATTCTGTGGAGCGAAATCCAAGCAGCTCAGAGGTCTGGAATCTGATTAGTAACCTGCAAAGCATAATGAATTAGTAATTACCTGATACGACATGAACTAATTAAACGAATTCTTGGGTGAGTCACTAACCGCTTCATCGGATCGAAGTGCGAGGGTCGGTGGAAGACCGAGCAGTACCAATGACTCGTTCAGGTACGCGATACAGTGGTCAAGGTTTTGCATGTTAGCGAATCCGTCCGCCAGCTGCAGGGGATGTTCATCCTCCATCGTTTCTCGACGAGCGCTTAGTGATGTAAAGCGGGGACTCTAATAATAATTTAGTCAATAAATAAAACGCCAGCGACAGATTACTGCTCCGTGGTAGCTAACAGGGATAGCCGAAACCGATTCTCATCCAATAGCCTCCGCTAGAATCCAGGTAGAAAGGAGAATTCCAAGCTATCAGGAAGTGGAGTCGTAGCGTAGCTTGAGGCAACGCGTCGATGGCGACGGAAACTTCAAGGCGGAAGGAATTTTAGACGGCGGTGAAACCGACGCGTTTGAGATAACTTCTAGGTGATGAAGGCCTCGAGTCCAAAAAGCTTCAGGGTGATATGGTTCAGATCACAACTCAAGTATTTAGAATGGCTTTCGAAGTTGACTGGTGCTGGTGGCAGGGAAACTCGAATCGCGTGTGTCAGAGAGAGGAGATGCTGACAGTTTGGGAGGGAGAGGGTGTCTGGTTCGTTTCTTTTCGAGCCAGGTTCCACGGTTTTCACTGGTGCGTTACGGTTTCAAGCGGTGCTGAAACTGAACCGCGATGGATGACTGGTGGACCAACACGCCCCAGCCCAACATCAGCTGCGGTGTACGTGAATGACCTTATGTTGATTTGTTCGTACGAGGCATACGCGTTAAAAAGAACCGTCCAAGCCTCAAACAACTGTGTAACCTGCTTCGTCTGTTCGTCCGTTCTTCGCCACGCAATCAAAATCGCCCCGTTCTCCATTCCCCCCTACACCCAAGTTCCAACCTGCGCCAAGCCCAGAGATGTCATGTGCACTCACACACTCCCTCCCCCTGCATGTTTCAAATTCCGCGCTGCAATTTTTCCCCTACCTCGAGTCGCTGCATGTCGTCTTTGCCTATCCACGTGTCTCACCTTGCCGAAACCGCATGAAGGAAAGCATCAGATTCGGAAATTACTTCATTTGTATATGCTTTTCCTCGGCCTTCTGCTGACGCGCTCCCGTCACCTCCAGTCTATCTGACCTCCCTCGTCATCTCTCTTCCCACGTTCTCTGCCAGTAAAGCGCGGACATTCGGTGCGCGGGAGAAGAACGGTCAATGCTGTCTGTCGCGGTTTCCGCAAGGAGCTTTTCATCTCTCGCACGCCCATGTCGTCGCGCCCAGCCCCTCACGCGCCGATGTAGTGTCCCCACCGCTCTCCCTAGTAGTACTACCGCTTCCGCGCCTTCGTCCGCTTCCGCGTCCGCTTATTCCGCTTCTTCCGCTTCTTCCGCCTCCGCCGCCGCTTCTCGCTTCGCCGCCCGTTTGTCCTCATTCTCCTCCGCGCATATCCCGTCGTTCCAAACTCCCGTACAACCATCGCTGCAAGCGGAGAAAACATCCTCGTTGGTAACAGTCATGAGCCACCAGCAGCATCGCCGGCAACATCACAGCGGCCGGCAAGACGAAAAAAGCGGGCGTCAGATCCACCAGGAAAACTCCCAGCAGCAAGCAGAAAGCGCACGCGCGGCCGCCTTCCCGGTTTCTATAGCTGACGGTCGCCGGTTCCACAACCTGCTAGCCGACTATGACCCCTCCCAGGCTGCTGTAGCGCAAGTGGAACGAAGGGCTCGGGAGTTAGGGGTCCCTGCAGGCGGAGTGACTGTAACGGGGGAAGGCGGAGTGAATGTAACGGGGAAAACAGGAGTGACTGTGACAGGGAAAGGGCGGGGAGAAGAGAGCAGGGTGGGTTCGTCGCTGCCAGGTGTCGGGCCGTCATTGGCTGTTCCGTCTGAGGAGGAGTTTCTGCGAGCGGGTTTGGAGCTGAAAGATCAGGTGGGGTGCTTAGTTTTAGTCTAGAACCACTCCAACACTTAGCTCCTCGTTCTTCTCACCCGCCTCCTCCTCTCCTTTACCCCCTCCCTTACCCTCCCCCTCCCTCCCCCCCCCTCTCCTCCCTTTCTTCACCTCACAAAAGCATATCTGCCTTCCGTTTCGTTTCGCCCTTTAGTTTGACACAGATAGTGGCTGCCAGGGTCCGGGACCCGTTTCTCTATGTGGGCCTGCAGGGAACAGCCTGGGTGTGCTTCAGAACCTCTGTTATCTCATCCCTCTTCCTCCTATCCTTGCCCTCATCCGTGCCTCGCTAACACAGACAGTGCAAGCCACGTGGACGAACGGAACTCCAGCGCCCAGGGTACGCGGCCCCTTTCTTCATTCTTCTCACTCGTCTGCTCGCGTCCCCCCCCCCCTCCTTTGCCTTGCAAGCACAGATAGTGCAAGCCACATGGACGAACGGAGGTCCAGCGCCCAGGGTGCGGGACCCATTCCTCTATGTGGGCCTGCTGGCAACAGCCTGGGTGTGCTTCAGAGCCTCTGTTATTTCAACCCTCTTCCTCCTATCCTCCTCCTCCCCCTTGCACCTCGCAAGCACAGATAGTGCAAGCCACATGGACGAACGGAGCGCCAGCTCGCAGGGTGCGGGACCCGTTCCTCTATGTGGGCCTGCTGGGGACAGCGTGGGTGTGCTTCAGAGCATATCAGGCCACAGGCGATGTTTCTGACCTGGCACTTGCTGCGGACATCATCCGGGCTGCTGCTGACATGGCGGAACGCCATCGAACGTGGGTAGCTGTGCTGGCTTTTGTCTGTGCCTGTCCTAGTTTCGGGCTTCATGGTACTCGCATATGCTGTCAGTTTATATGCTGTCAGTTGTGTTTTGCGCCGACTCAAAACACACCTGGCTTTATAATACTCGCATGTGCTGTCAGTGCTTCCTAACAGCTCACGTACCTCCATTGCTCTACCATCACTCCCCCATCGCTCATAATCACTCCTCCCTTTTCTCCCCATGCCATCAGGCATTACACCTTCTACTGTGGTCAACCGGGCATTCTTGCATTGGGAGCTGTCATGCATCATCATCTCATGCACCACTCGCAGCAGCAACCGCAGCAACCTTTGCACCAACACCAGCAGCAGCAGCACGAGGAGCTCGACTCCAATCCCTACCTCCGCTCCTTCCTCTCCCTCCTCACCTCCTCACTCCCCTCGCTCTCCCTCCTCCCCTCCTCCCCCACCGACACTGCACCAGCCACCATCCCCCACGAGCTACTGTACGGGAGAGCAGGCATGCTCTGGGCCTTCCTGTTCCTGCGCAGGAACCTTCCTGTGGATATGCGAAGGAATCTTCTTCCTTTCTCTCGCCCGCCCCATTGCTGCTGCCATTGTGGAAGCGGGGCTGTCCCTTGCGTCGACGTATGCTCATGGTAAGCACATCGACAGGATTTCAGGGTAGAACTGTAGAGATGGCGTTTGAGTCAGCTCAAAAGTCACCTCGCTTCAAAAGCCATTGTGGATGCGGGGCTGTCCCTTGCGTCGATGTATGCTCATGGTAAGCAAGAAGACAAAAAGGCATGGTGGAACTTCTGAGTGCAGGCGTGCGGGGCATGGTCCCCGCCCACCCCTCATGTACGAGTGGTATGGGACGCGGTACCTGGGGGTAGCAGCTGGCATGAGAAGACTCATTCTCGTTGCATGTAACCATGCTGTCCTGCCCCCTGTTCCCCATGCTGAATGCAGATGGCCACCCCCTCCCGCCCCTCATGTATGAGTGGTACGGCACCCGGTATCTGGGGGCAGAACACAGCATGAGAAAGACTCATTCTCATTGCGTGCATCCATGCTGACATGCCCCACTTAAACTTCTTCTGCAGATGGAAGTCCCCTCCCGCCTCTCATGTACGAGTGGTACGGCACTCGGTACCTGGGGGCAGCACACGGCGTGGCAGGGATAGTACACGTGCTGCTGCTGCTACGGAGAGAAGAACTGGAGGAGGAGGCGGAACTGGAGGAAGTGGGGAAGGAGAGGGGTGCAACAGCAGGCGTCAGGGAAGCAGCAGTGCTAGGAGGCAGTGCGAGGGAAAGGGGAGACAGGACACTGGAGGAGGCAGCAGAAGCAGCAGCAGCAGCGCTGGAATACCTAGTGGCCACTCGCCTGCCTTCCGGGAACTATGCTGCGAGCGATGAGGAGAGCCGAGCGGCTGCTGCTGCAGTCAGAAACACACTCAAACGAGAAAGCAGTGCTGCTGCTGCTGCTGCTAGGGGTATCGCGGGTGGGGGTGGAAGCACGGGCGAGGGAGAGGTGAGGGAGGTGCAAGAGGCAGATCGGTTGGTGCACTGGTGCCACGGAACCCCTGGTGTGGCTCCCGCTCTCGCCCATGCTGCTATGGTGAGCCCCTTAGCTCATGCTTCTGAAGTGATTAGACCTCGATCTGTTGGCACTCAGTCCGTTCTTTTGGCCATAAACCGCTCAATTCCAGTGCTCATCCTTTCCTCTGCCCTTAATGCCCTCTCCTCCTTGCACCAGCTGTTTCCGTCCAAGCCCCAGTTGCTGCAAGCAGCCATCGAGGCAGGAGAGGTTGTTTGGCACCGAGGCTTGCTACGCAGGGTCGGTCTCTGCCATGGCATCAGCGGCAACGCCTACACTTTCCTGGCTCTCCACCGAGCCACAACTGCAGGCTCGGCAACCGTCCCTGCCCCAGGTTTGGGATCAGCTGCTGCCGAGGGCGCTGGAGCTTCTATGGCTGCCACTTCAGCATCGCCCGGAGCTCAGACAGCAGGAGACAATGACACATCAGCACTGATGACACGTCACCTGCACAGAGCACGCGCATTTGCTGGCTTCCTGCATGCCAACTGGCGCCAGCTGGCGGAGGCAGGCACCCTGCACTGCGGGGATCACCCGTTCTCCCTCATGGAAGGTCTGGGCGGCCCTGCTTGTCTGTTTCTGGACATGAGCCGGCCCAATGAAGCAAGGTTTCCAGGGTACGAGCTGTAGAGCTGGCTTGGATATAGTGATTGTGGAACCTGTGTAGGATATAGTGCAGAGAGGGTGGAGATAGTGGGAGGGTTTTGTCAAGGACTGATGCGCTGTGTTGCACTAGCAAAAGATAAGAGTGTAGATGTTGACAAGGTAGCAGTTGAAATCACAATGCTGTGGATGTTAAAAAGTTGGTTTTACCAAAGGGTGTGGTGTGAACCTGTTCTTCGTGAAGCAGCAAGTATACCTCCTTGAGCAACTCAATCAGGAAAAAAGAAAAGGACCATCAATACTCACAACAATCGTGAACTAATGGGTTCATGGCTTGGCTATGAGGTCAGTAGCTCTGCCATAGCTCGGCTATTGGGTTCATGGCTCCTTGCAGCGGTAGTGCATACACGCAGAGGCCGAGATCCAACCGAGAAGGAGGCATAGGCCTAACAACGTAAGAGCCTAACAGTGTAACAGCCTAACAGCGTAACAGCCTAACACCGTAACAGCGCAACAGCCTAACAGTGTAATAGCCTAACAGCGTAACAGCTTAACAGCGTAACAGCCTAACAGCGTAACAGCCTAACAGCCTAACAGATTAACAGCCTGACAGCGTAACAGCCTGACAGCGTAACAGCCTAACAACGTAACAGCCTAGCAGCGTAACAACCTAGCAGCGTAATAGCCTAGCAGCATAACAGCCTAGCAACGTAACAGCCTGACAGCGTAACAGCTTAGCAGCGTAACAACCTAGCCGCGTAACAGCCTAGCAGCGTAACAACGTACCAGCGTAATAGCCTAACAGCGTAACAGCCTAACAGCGTAACAGCCTAACAACGTAACAGCCTAACAGCGTAGCAGCCTAACAGCATAACAGCGTAACAGCCTAACAGCCTAACAGCGTAACAGCGTAATAGCCTAACAGCGTAACAGCGTAATAGCCTAACAGCGTAACAGCCTAACAGCGTAACGGCCTAACAGCGTAACAGCGTAACAGCCTAACAGCGTAACATCGTAACAGCGTAACAGCGTAACAAACTAACAGCGTAACAGCGTAACAGCCTAACAGCGTAGCAGCCTAACAGCGTAGCAGGCTAACAGCGTAGCAGGCTAACAACGTAGCAGCGTAACAGCTAGCGTACCAGCTTAGCAGCGTAACAGCTTAGCAGCGTAACAAATTAGCAGCGTAACAGCTTAGCAGCGTAACAGCGTAGCAGCGTAACAGCGCAACAGCGTAGCAGCGCAACAGCGTAGCAGCGCAACAGCGTAGCAGCGTAACAGCGTAACAATTTAAAAGCGTAACACCTTAATAACGTAACAGCTTAACATCCTAACAGCTAAACAGCCTAACAGCTTAACAGCGTAACAGCATAACAGCGTAACAGCCTAACAGCGTAACAGCCTAACAGCGTAACAGCCTAACAGCTTAGCAGCCTAACAGCGTAGCAGCCTAACAGCGTAGCACCCTAACAGCGTAGCAGCCTAACAGCGTAACAACGTAACAGCGTAAAAGGGTAACAGCGTAACAGCGTAACAACGTAAAAGCCTAACAGCGTAACAGCCTAACAGCGTAACAGCCTAACAACGTAACAACGTGACAGCGTAACAACGTAACAGCGTAACAGCCTAACAGCGTAACAACCTAACAGCGTAACAGCCTAACAGCGTAACAGACTAACAGCGTAACAGACTAACAGCGTAACAACCTAACAGCGTAACAACCTAACAGCGTAACAGCGTAACAGCCTAACACGTAATAGCCGAACAGCGTAACAACCTAAAGCGTAACAGCCTAACAGAGTAACAGCGTAACAGCGTAACAGCGGAACAGCGTAACAGCGGAACAGCCTAACAGCGGAACAGCCTAACAGCGTAACAGCCTAACAGCGTAACAGCCTAACCGCGTAACAGCCTAACAGCGTAACAGCCTAACAACGTAACAACGTAACAGCGTAACAGCGTAACAGCCTAACAGCGTAACAGCCTAACAGCGTAACAGCCTAACAGCGTAACAGCCTAACAGCGTAACAGCCTAACAGCCTAAGAACGTAACAGCCTAACAACCTAACAGCCTAACAGCGTAGCACCCTAATAGCTTAACAACCTAACAGCGTAACAGCCTAACAGCGTAACAGCCTAACAGCGTAACAGCCTAACAGCGTAACAGCCTAACAGCATAACAACCTAACAGCATAACAGCCTAACAGCGTAACAGCCTAACTGCGTAACAGCCTAACTGCGTAACAGCCAAACAGCTTAACAGCCTAACAGCTTAACAGCGTAACAGCGTAACAGCCTAACAGAGTAACAGCCTAACAGCTTAACAGCCTAACAGCCTAACAGCGTAACAGCCTAACAGCCTAACAGCCTAACAGCGTAACAGCCTAACAGCGTAACAGCCTAACAGCGAAACAGCCTAACAGCGTAACAGCCTAACAGCGTAACAGCTTAACAGCGTAACAGACTAACAGCGTAACAGCCTAACAGCGGAACAACCTAACAGCGTAACAGCCTAACAGCATAACAACCTAACAGCATAACAGCCTAACAGCGTAACAGCCTAACAGCGTAACAGCCTAACTGCGTAACAGCCTAACTGCGTAACAGCCAAACAGCTTAACAGCCTAACAGCTTAACAGCGTAACAGCGTAACAGCCTAACAGAGTAACGGCCTAACAGCTTAACAGCCTAACAGCCTAACAGCGTAACAGCCTAACAGCCTAACAGCCTAACAGCGTAACAGCCTAACAGCGTAACAGCCTAACAGCGAAACAGCCTAACAGCGTAACAGCCTAACAGCGTAACAGCCTAACAGCGTAACAGACTAACAGCGTAACAGCCTAACAGCGGAACAACCTAGCAGCGTAACAGCGTAACATCGTAACAGCGTAACAGCCTAACAGCGTAACAACCTAACAGCGTAACAGCCTAACAGTGTAACAGCCTAACAGCGTAACAACCAAACAACATAACAGCCAAACAGCGTAACAGCCTAATATCTTAACAACCTAACAGCGTAACAGCCTAACAGCTTAACAGCCTAACAGCGTAACAGCCTAACAGCATAACAACCTAACAGCATAACAGCCTAACAGCGTAACAGCCTAACTGAGTAACAGCCTAACTGCGTAACAGCCTAATAGTGTAACAGCCTAACAGTTTAACAGCCTAACACCAAAATAGCCTAACACCTTAACTGCCTAACAGCATGACAGCCTAACAGCGTAACAGCCCAACAGCTTAACAGCCTAACAGCGCAACAGCCTAACAACGTAACAGCGTAGCAGCGCAACAACGTAACAGCGTAACTGCGTAACACCCTAATAGCGTAACAGCCTAACAGCGTAACAGCCTAACAGTGTAACAGCCTAACAGCGTAACAGACAATCGATGTAACAGCATAACAGACAATCGACGTAACAGCATAACAGACAATCGACGTAACAGCATAACATCGTAACGGTCTAACAGCGTAACAACCTAACACAGTAACAGCCTAACAGACAAACAGAGTAACAGCGCAACAGCGTAACATCATAACAACGTAACAGCCTAACAGCGCAACAGCCTACCGCACGCTCATACGCCGCACTGCACGTTCATAAGCTGCACCGCCCTCTCATACGCTGCACCATGCTTTGATACGCTGCACCACCCGCTCATACGCTGCACCGCCCGCTCATACGCTGCACCGTCCGCTCATACGCTGCACCGCCCGCTGATACGCTGCACCGCCCCCTCATACGCTGCACCGCCCGCTCATACGCTGCACCGCCCGCTCATACGCTGCAACGCCCGCTCATACTCTGCACCGCCCGCTCATACGCTGCACTGCTTGCTCATACGCTGCACCGCCCGCTCATACGCTGCACCGCCCGCTCATACGCTGCACCGCCCGCTCATACGCTGCACCGCACACACATACGCTGCACCGCCCTCTTATACGCTGCACCGCCCATTCATACGATGCACCGCCCATTCATACGATGCACCGCCCATTCATACGATGCACCGCCCATTCATACGATGCACCGCCCATTCATACGATGCACTGCACGCTCATACGCTGCACCTCCCGCTTATACGCTGCACCGCCCGCTCATACGCTGCTCCGCCCGCTCGTACGCTGAACCGCACGTTCATACACTGGATCATAGCTCAGCTATTGGGTTCATGGCTTGGCTACGAGGTCAGTAACTCCGCCATAGCTCGGTTATAGGGTTCATGGCAAAGGTGGAAAGGTAGAGATATCTGGCAGCGAGAGGTGACTCAAAACAGCAGTAGCAGAGGGGAAAATGTGAACAGTGGCATCTACGCGAAGGCACCGCCCGCTCATGATCCAGTCATAGTTCCAATCTAGAAGAAGCATCTTACCAGAGTGTAGGTGCTGTCGGCGCAGTGCTCCTCGCAGTGCAGTGCATACACGCCGAGGCAGAAATCCAATCCAGAAGAAGGCATAGGCGTGTTACCAGAGTGTAGGTGCGGTCAGGGCAGTTGGGAATTTGTGAATTTGGGAAGTTGGGGATTCGGGGATTTGGTGGTTTGCATGCACTCCCTTCAACATGGGGCAAAGTACTGGGTCTGGGAGAAGAGGCACCTAAAGGGAGGGACGCAAGAAATGAGCCTGGCACGAGGACCGAGACCATAACAAGCGACAAACATAGCATGCCAAAAAACAGTCCCAGAAAACAACTTACGTTACTCTGGCATGGAGTCTTCCCTCCCGCCTCTTCTCGGTCAACGATGTCGTTGCACTGACAATCATTCCCAGGTGTCATGCCGCTGCTGTAAGAGGAGCAGAAGAGAGGAGAGGAGCAGAAGAGAGCAAGGCAGCAGAAGAGAGGAGGGCAGCAGAGAGGAGGAGAGCAGAAGAGAGGAGGAGAGCAGAAGAGAGGAGGAGAGCAGAAGAGAGGAGGAGAGCAGAAGAGAGCAAGGCAGCAGAAGAGAGGAAGGCAGCAGAAGAGAGGAAGGCAGCAGAAGAGAGGAGGGGAGCAGAAGAGAAGAGTGCAACGGAACATGAGATAGGA